TTATAATTACTAGTAAGCTTGCACGTGCAACGCACGTTAAATGTTGACCACAAATATATAAATTTGATTAATACACAATGTTGTTATGCCACTCAAGTAGTTTATCCAGAAATGATAAATCTTGTGATCTGATAGGCTGTAAAAGAAAAAGAAATCTAGTTATGATTGAAAAGCAACCTTGCATTGTGTTCAGTATGTGGAGATGCAACTTTACAATTGGTCTAAATATCATTATGTAAGCAATTGATAACCAAAACCTGGGAAAAAAGATAGAGATAGTTAAATCAACAGATACTATATAATATGAGGTTGCTAACCAAATGCTTATATAAACCTGCAAATGGCCTTGACAAGGTATCATGAAAATTCTGATAGTCAATTACGTGTTACAAATAAACATAACCCACACTTGAACGACTACTAAAATACAAAACAAATATCTCACATAAAAAAATTAATGGCATTGAACCAATATTCTAAAGTGGACAACTTTAAGGGGCCACTTTTGACAATCAAAGGAGCTAGCTTTATTCTGAAGGGCTAGCATTACAATTACGACATAGCCTCCGGTCCCTAACCTACAGGGCAGGTTTGTACACAGGTGTGCTAAAAATTAACCTCTCTAAGAAGAAAAGATAGAGTAAAAGAACAAAAAGCTTGGCTCAACTCAATTTCTGCCAGGAAGCCGATAATCTCTATCTATTATGTTTTTTTGAGTTCCACATCTCCACCAGTACCCGACAATCAGATTCAAAGGCAACATCAGGCCATTCTTCCTTGTTTTAATAGCAATGTAGTAATATAACAGAGGCAACAGAGATGTCAGACAAAAAACAAACTAAAACTCTAAATAGATTATGCATGTTTGGTCTTTAAATGGGGAACGTTTCCCTGATTCTAAGGGAGATGTAGCTGGATGATGATTCTCCATCCGTGACAGGCTAAAACCATGGGGAAGTAATGAAATCATTAGAACAATGTCCATACTGAGAAGCTATTGAATGTTTTTATTCCATCTTGACATCTACATTGATCTGGAATGCATACTTTCCCTCGTACATTGATAAGATCGACCAGACTAAACCAGCCTTGAAAGGTTCCATCACAACAGTTAACCTAGATGGAACACCATATAGAGAAGGCATAGGGATCACGCAAACAGAATTTCTATAGATTGCTTTTCTGTCACAGGTCATTACAAGTAACCTGAATGATAAGCCTTGCGTTCACTACAAGTTCTACAGATTGCTTTGCTAAGGTCTCAAGTATGATTATTAACATAAACTCAACAAGCATAAGTATTCAGTTTGACGGTTGTTGGAGCTCAATTGATTGCCCTCATAATCCTACTGTAAATTGACTTGTGCATCAACCTAAATACTTAAGCATGTCTATCTGGCTGTGTACAATTAAGCATGCGAAAAAACAACACATTTTAGGCATCAGTGCCAACTGATCCCTTAAATAATGATATTAATTCTACAAATGAAAATGATAAGGTTTGTTTTTCTCAAGCTGGGGGTGTAAGATGCAAGAATAAAGATATAATGTTAGTCTCTGTTCATCATCTGAGAGGCAGCTATACTAAATCCAACTGAAAAGGCCAACAATAATAAATAGGTAAGCTGCTCACTGCTCATGGCTTCATGCATATATCCTCCATGGCTGCCACGGTCCAATTACACTTGAATCAAACAAAGCAACATACATGGACAGAAAAATATGCATAGAAAAATGGCAGGTGCATATCCCGTAGTTAACCACTACCAAAATACAAAATAATCCTGATCCGATCTAATCAAACTCTACTCCTTCCAGCAACAAGCTACATTCGAGCTGAATTGCACAAGCAACTAACCTTGTAACCTTCTTGGAAACCTGGATCACCTCCCTGAACCTTGGGTGCACATTAGGGCTTATCTCCATGGGCCTGTTCAAAATCATGTGAACACAGTTAGAACCTTGTCATTCTTTTGATTCCAATGTACCGAGCTTGATCTGGTTTGAGGGCTTCTAGATCATATTTAGAAATGTCATCTTGTAAACATTTTTAAGCAGAAACCAGGGAACTTAGTGTAGTTACAAAGACACAATGTCTGACCAAGCACTAATGCCAACTCTAAACGCGGTCACCATTTTTCAGCAGGAACTTAGTTCATATACAATCCGAAAACATGCACTTAAGTTCCCTTCCATCCTGCAATCAAAAAAACATGCACCTAAGTTCCCTTCCATATGCAATCTAAGAACATGTACTTAAGCAGGCTAGTCTAAAAACCTGCACTTAAGCAGCTCTAATCCGTCTCTACTCCAGCTCCTTCCTTAATCCACCACCTGCTCCGGCTCCTTCCTCCATCTGCCTCGAATCCCTTGTACCGCATATCCTGAAACAAATCATCATCAATAAACATTAGTATCTTCGATGGAGAATTATGGAGGTATACTCTGCCGCAAAGTACCAACCTGAAGTTGAGTAGTGGCCTTAGTGACATAGATCTAAAACTGGTAGGCTCAATAGTTGGCAAGAAACTCTCATATAATTCGATAAAAGGTATGCAAACTTTTTAAGTTAGCAAGTGCTATCAGCTAGCACCATGGCCGTCTCTGTTTGTGTCCGTCGAAATGCTACAGTATAGTACAAAATAAATAATTTTGATGAATACAAAGTAATAATTAATGAGCAGAAGTGTTAAGCTTAATCAATAAAAAGACTAAAGCTCTCCAGCCGAGCCTACACCTGTCAATGTAAATGTATCATATTCTGTCTACACATTGTGCATACCGATCTCTTCATCATCTCGACCTACACCGCTAACTTATTAAAATCCTATCCATCAAAATTTATCTCATGACAGTATCTAGCACTTATTTGGTCTTACCTGGCTATGTCTGCCGGTCTGGCCATCACATGGCCCTCCTCCGGAGATGCACGCGTCAGCGCCATTCAGGCCGTCCATGGTGCAAGACCAGAAATTTATCCGGCAACAACTACCATTCTTCACAGTTGGAATAAGTTAACAACCGCCACATCAAACCTGTGCTAAAATACATGACCCACCTTCAGTTGCCTGGCTAAATATGGACACGTGAAATGAGTAAAAGAAGATTGATAATTGCATAACCATGAAATTACAACAAGAATAATTCAGGAGAGGGAAGCTACTGAACCCCGTTACAAAGGAACAAATTCAGCTTGTCATTTGATTCTTGGCACGGAATGGGATGCCAAATTAAAATTTAAATGTATACAACCAAAATTGGACACATTAATGAAAAATCAAATTAACTTTAAGTGTATTTGTATTTTGGAAATCGTCATGTTCTGTATGACCACTCATGATCACATATATATAGACAGACAAATCAAACAACATGACAGGTGCTAGACTGGGTGTCATGACTAATTTACAATTATTGGTAGAGGAACAGATCATAATTTCCTTGCTAAATGGGGAAAAACAACTGTTTCATCAGTGATGTATGGGCGTATGACACTGACTTACTATTACCAGTTAACCAATGTCATCATGCAGACATAGAATTATGAATTAAAAAAATTATCCTTTTCTCATGGATGCCTCCTTATGCTTATGCTCCTCCCACAGATGCTCAGATCCAACAGCATGTCCTCTTCCTACAGGGAATCAGTACAGAGACGCATATGTGTGTGTGAGAGAAAGTAGACCCAAAAGGAAGAACAGAGGGGTGCTGTCCTACCTACCTCTTCCACAATCCACAGTGTGCGTCGTCGCTGTGCTCTCTCATCCAGGCCGAGCATGGGGCAGATTTCGCACGGTGCGACGGAAAAGAAGAAAATCGGGCAGCGAGGGGCGGCTTGCTCCAATGTGGGTCGTGCGTGTGTCAGGCGCCACTGCAAGGCAAGGCGTTGCGGGCGGGCGAGAGGGCGGCACTGAGGAGGAGTAGGAGGACGACACAGTGGGCGCTCTTGGGGAAGGCGGCGTCGCGCGGGGAGGAGGCGGGGAGCGACATCGTCGCGTGGGTAGGAGAGGCAGGCGACGTCGCCTCGGCTGGGGGCGGGGAGAGGCGATGCTTTCGGGTAGATGGTGTCGCGAGGACGGCCGCGGCCGCCGGGAAGCGCCCCCATCCAACCCCGTGTGCCAGGCGGCCGCCGGAGCGCGCTCGCCGGCGAGCCTTCCTCAGCCGCCGCCAAGACTCTCCTTCTCTTCCCCTCTCCTCTCCCGAAGATGCGCTGCCGCCCGGGTCGGCTTGACCCGTATCCATCGGCTGGCATCCAGGCGACCCGTAGCGTGACGAACCTGCCACCGCTCGGCAACCCAACCGCCCGCCCGCATCTCCAGTAATTGTGTGGGCGTGGGCGGCAGAGTTTCGTCCACTCCCACAAAATTGGTAAACGCACTTTCGTCAAAGGTTAATTTTTATTTTGAGGTTCGATCGTAATTAGTTGGTCTAATCGTAAGGCTCTAATTGGTCCAATTTATTCTGTGTACATTAGATGGGGTGCACTTAGTGATGAATATGTTCGCTTGTTTAATAGTAGTATAGATTCTTTATCTCACAGCACGTAAGATTCAAAAAGTAAAAAAAAAATCGTGCATAGGAATAGGGTTTCTGTTTGCCGCAAGCAGCAACAATAGGTTGAATCATACCAACTCCTCCATGAACCCTAGCCCCCGATCGATCCCCAATGAACATGAAGAGGGACGCAAGTGATCCAGCGGAGCAGCAGCAACAACAGGTGGGGGAGATGGGCGATGCGCTGTTCACATCGGTGTTTGTCGGAGCAGCTGTGGGTGGGGGAGCGGGGCAGCCCAGCAGCGAAGAAGGGGAGGGGAGCCGCAGCAGCAGCGGTTGGGCGACCTTTGTAGCGCAGAGTCCAAGAAAGAAGCCCTGCTGGTCGCCGCCGCCGCCGCCGCCACCGTTCCTGAGAGAAGAAAAGCTCCACGGGCCATTCCTTCCCAAGGCCAAACAGACTCCCCACCTGACCACCGTGATGGCGCCGTCCATAGCAGATATCCTAGATGTGTTGCTCGAGGAAATCTTCCTCCGCCTCCGCCACCTGCCCCTCCTCCCACCGCATCATCGCCGACCATGCCTTCTTGCGCCGCTACCACGCCCTCCACCCACCACCTCTCATCGGCATTCTCGACAACCAGAAACACTTCATCCCAGCACAGCCGCCGCACCCCTCCGCCCTCGCTGCCCGCGCCTTCACCGGCTTCGATTTCTCTTGCTCCTCCTTCCTCCCCTCCACCGCCGGCCGTACCTGGAGTCCAATTGACTTCTTTGACGGACGTGTCCTCCTAGCCGGCGTCCCAGTCAGAAATTTTGTTGGCAGACACATCCTCTTGGGCTCCAAAGTGGACGGCAAAAGTTTGGTCAGGAAGTTCGTCGTGTGCGACCCGGTGCACCGTCGGTATATCATGCTGCCCGCCATCCCCGTTGACCTGAACGCGCTGGTCCATAAACAGGAACTCCTCGGTCAGGAGATTTTCCTTGCTCCCGGTGAGGACAAGGAGGACCCTGTTAAACATACATATGTCACGGCAACATACATGTGTCACGGCATTGCTTGGTGGCCAAGGCTTTGGAGTAGTTAGGAGATATATTCTCTAGTTGTTAGCATGGTTATCTTTTATCTTTATATTCTCCTCTATCTCTCCATGTATCTCTCTGGTTGTTGAACAACCTAATCTTGTATGCCTCTGCGAGAGCCGGCCTCGCCTAAATCAATACATACCACGCGGGCTCCCATGTTACGGGAGTTGAGACACTTCTACAATTTCCACATGGTATAGAGAGCAGGCCTCTTCCATAGCATCTAGCTCATCTTTCTCCATCCTCTCCATCTTCAATCCATCACGCCGCAGCCATGTCCTCCTCCACCACAATCACCTCCTCTGGCCTCAACTACAACACATCAGAACCTCTCAGCCGGACGAACTACGTTCTCTGGCGAGCCCAGGCGCGATCCCAGATATTGGGCGCTGGCTTGTTTGGCTACATAGATCAAACCAAAGAGGAGCCTCCCAAAACAATCACTAGCAAAGACAAAGATGGTAAGGAGCAGGTAGTTCCCAATCCTGCCCATAATCCCTGGTTAGTTCAAGATCAGCAGATCGTGGCATATCTCCTTCGTAATCTGTCCAAGGAGGTGCTGGTTCAAGTGGCTTCGCTTGAATCATCTCATGCGATCTGGATGGCATTAGCAAATATGTTCTCTGCAGTTTCTTTGTCTCGCGTGAACAACATCAGATCTGCCCTCACCAACGCCCAGAAAGGATCTCAATCCGCCTCCACCTACTTCGGGCATATGCGTGCCCTCTCTGACGAGCTTGCGGCGGCGGGCAAGCCGCTCGGGGAGGGAGAGCTCATCTCCTTCATCATCGTCGGGCTTGACATGGAGTATCAACCGATCATCTCTGCACTCGACGTCCGCACCGAGCCCATCACCGTCGACGCGCTCTTCTCTATGGTAGCCAACTTCGATCAGCGCATTGAGATGTTCAACGACGCCGGTGGCTTCAAGTCATCGGCCAACGCAGCCTCCAGAGGTCACTCGGGCGGTGGCAAAGGCGGCTACCGAAACCAGAAGAACGGCGGCCACGGCGGGGGCTATCCTGGAGGTGGTGGCCAAAACCCTAGCAGCGGCTATCCTGGCGCTGGTGGCGGCGCCTACAACCATGGTGGTGGCGGCGGCTACAACAACCACGGAAACTGCGGTGGCCAAGGCGGTGGCCATCGTGGCGGCGGTGGCGGGGGCTACTACAACAACAATGGCCCCCCTCGCCACTACTACAACAACAATCAAGGCGCTCGCTTCATGGGGTACGAGGAGTATGAAAACAAATGCCAAATCTGTAAGAAAACTAACCATATTGCGAAAGAATGCAAGTGGCGCTATGCAGAGGACAATTCCAGAAGGAGGCGTGTTGCAGCTGCGGTAGATGCCTCATACGGAGTTGACTCCAACTGGTATCTTGACTCTGGCTCAAATGAGAATATTATCTCTGAGCTTGAGAAGATGACCATGCACGAGAAGTACCAAGGCCAAGATCAAGTCCACACTGCTGAAAACGGTCCAGGTATGATGACAAGTCATGTTGGCAAGTCTATTATTCAAACCCCACATCGTGATATTCGTGTAGATGATGTTCTGCATATTCGTAATGCATGAAAAAATCTTCTGTCAGTTCATCGTATTACTCTTGACAATGGTGTCTTCATAGAGTTTCATCCCTTCTTCTTTTTTATCAAGGATCAGGTCATGAGGAGGGTGCTTTATCGCGGTAGATGTGTGCAAGGTCTCTATCCGTTGATCCCCACAATTTCCAAGTTCAATAAGCAAGCATATGGAGCTTTCAAGGTGTCCTCAGAACGATGGCATAATCGTTTAGGCCACCCATCTTTTTCCGTTGTTTATCAAATTCTTAGCAAAAATAAGCTCGCATTTGTTGACGAGCACGATCATGAAACTATTTGTGATTCTTGCCAAAGAGCAAAAAGCCACCAGTTGCCATATCCTATTACCAATAGTGTTTCAACAAAACCCTTGCAGCTTGTATTTTCTGATGTATGGGGACCGGCCCCTTCCTCTGTTGGTCGGCACACCTATTACGTGAGTTTCATCGATGACTTTAGCAAGTATACTTGGATATACCTCCTTAAGAAACGCTCCGATGTTTTCCAAGTCTTTCTCAACTTTCAAGCTCTTGTCGAACGACAATTTGATTACAAAATACTTGCCATGCAATCAGATTGGGGAGGGGAATACGAGAAACTTAACTCCTTTTTCCAACGGATAGGGATTTCTCATCATGTTTCTTGCCCTCACGCTCACCAACAAAATGGTTCAGCGGAGCGCAAGCATAGACACATTGTTGATGTTGGTCTTTCCCTCCTTGCCGGAGCATCCATGCCGCTCAAATTCTGGGATGAGGCGTTCCTCACCGCGGTGCACCTCATAAATATTTTACCTAGTCGTGTCATTAATTTTGAGACACCCACTGAACGTCTACTTCATATCAAACCCGAGTACTCCCATCTTCGTGTGTTTGGTTGCGCATGTTGGCCTAACCTTCGTCCCTATAATAATAGGAAACTTATGTTTCAATCAACACAATGTGTCTTCATAGGCTACAGTGCACAACATAAAGGTGTTAAGTGTCTTGATGTAGCCACGGGACGTGTGTATATCTCCCGAGATGTTGTCTTTGATGAAACGGTGTTCCCTTTTGCCAAACTCCACCCAAATGCCGGCGCTTTGCTTCGCAAAGAAATTCTTCTTTTGCCCTCCACCTTGACCGGCGTTCATCATGGGGGAGAGAATAATAGTACTGACCAACTTGCCTCTAATCATCATATTATGCCTGAGATTACTGCTGCGGATTTAAATTCAGATGAAGAGGAAAATTGCAGTTCAAACAGACGTGATTTTATGTGCCCCCTGACTGGCGACACGGACGCAAATCGAGGAGGATCCGCCTCGGGATCCCCACGGGTGGACCCAATATCCTCTCCGGGATCCGGGCGCACAACACCTGGTCGCGCCTCCGCGCCAACCGCCTGACGACGCGTGGCGGACAGATATCCACGCGTCTGAGCCCACCTCACCTGGTTGGCCCGCGTCCGCTTCGCCAGGGCCCGCCACTGCACCAGATTCGACAGGGCCCGCTGCTTCACCTCCGAGGCGGTCGCCCACAAGCGCGACACAATCCTCCTCGGGATCTGAGTCGCCAGCACCTGAGGCTGATGCGGCTGGTGGATCCCCTGAGGCTCCGTCTCCTGTGGTTTCTCCTGTGGCGCCGCGCACTAGGCTACAGAAGGGAATTACTACTCGTTTAAATTACAAAAATTTCTCCAAAATTGGTATGTCCTGCACAACTGGTGAACCTAACAGTTTAATGACAGCACTTGGTGATCCTAGGTGGAAGGCGGCCATGGAAGATGAAATCACGGTGTTGCGTAAAAATAAAACATGGCACCTAGTGCCCCCTCGACCAGGCAGAAATCTAATTGATTGTAAGTGGGTCTATCGAATCAAGAAGAAGTCTGACGGTACCATAGACAGATACAAGGCAAGACTTGTAGCCAAGGGCTTCAAGCAAAGGTATGGAATAGATTATGAGGACACGTTTAGTCCTATTGTTAAAGCTGTAACAATCCGTCTTGTGTTATCAATAGCTGTGTCCACGAGATGGAGTCTGAGGCAGCTAGATGTCCAGAACGCGTTTTTTCATGGTGTTCTGGAAGAGGAAGTGTACATGAAACAGCCTCCTGGGTTTGAAGATAAAGATGCACCATCCTATGTCTGCAAGCATGATAAGGCCTTGTATGGGTTGAAGCAGGCACCCAGGGCATGGTATTCACGGTTAAGCATGAAACTTCAGTCACTTGGCTTTGTTCCATCAAAATCTGACACCTCCTTGTTCATTTATAACAAGCACAAAACATCCATATTTGTTTTAATATATGTTGATGACATAATTGTCACTAGCTCTTCTGATGGAGCTGTGACAGCATTACTTAAGGATCTAGGCTCTGAGTTTGCACTCAAGGACTTGGGAGACCTGCATTTCTTCTTGGGCATTGAGGTCAAGAAACACAGTAATGGTATTCATCTATCTCAGGCAAAGTATGCTACTGAACTGGTAAGTAGAATTGGCATGCAGAATTGTAAATCTTCACCAACACCTTTGTCTAGTTCAAAACCTTTATCCTTGACAGAAGGACAGCCTCTGCACAAAGAGGATATTACGGGTTACAGGAGTCTAGTTGGTGGACTTCAGTACTTGACTCTTACTCGACCTAACATCTCTTTTGCAGTCAATAAGGTGTGTCAGTATCTTCACGCACCTACCACAACTCACTGGACAGCTGCAAAACGAATTCTCAGGTACATAAGAAGCACTATACACTTGGGTCTTACATTCAGCAAGTCATCTTCCACACGTGTCAGTGCCTTCTCAGATGCAGACTGGGCTGGTTGTTTAGATGACAGAAGGTCAACAGGTGGTTTTGCTATCTTTTATGGACCTAACTTGATATCGTGGTGTGCAAGAAAACAAGCTACTGTTTCCAGGTCAAGTACAGAAGCAGAGTATAAAGCATTAGCAAATGCAACGGCAGAAATCATTTGGGTTCAGTCTATGCTCAGAGAACTTGGAGTGACTCAGACTCAGCCTCCTTGTTTGTGGTGTGACAATCTTGGTGCTACATATTTATCTGCTAATACAGTCTTTCATGCCAGGACAAAGCACATTGAAATAGACTTCCATTTTGTAAGAGAACGTGTTGCCAATAAACAGCTTGAGATCAGATTTATACCTTCCAAAAATCAGCTTGCAGATGGGTTCAGAAAGGCATTGCCGTCCAAAGGTTTTGAAGAGTTTAAACGTAATATCAACTTGTCATAGTTGTGATTATGGGGGAGTGTTAAACATACATATGTCACGGCAACATACATGTGTCACGGCATTGCTTGGTGGCCAAGGCTTTGGAGTAGTTAGGAGATATATTCTCTAGTTGTTAGCATGGTTATCTTTTATCTTTATATTCTCCTCTATCTCTCCATGTATCTCTCTGGTTGTTGAACAACCTAATCTTGTATGCCTCTGCGAGAGCCGGCCTCGCCTAAATCAATATATACCACGCGGGCTCCCATGTTACGGGAGTTGAGCCGCTTCTACAATTTCCAAAGACCCATTGTCATTCCGGGTGATATGCTTGGTGCAATGCAGAATGAATCTGTTGCTTCTGGTCTTCTCCTCGTTGAATGGACAATGGCATGTTCTTACTTCTGACCAATGGGGTGCTTCGGCTACACTTGCTTCATTTGTGAAGTCTGATCCTGAGCTGTCCAGTCGTCAATTCGTCCATGGATGCTTCTATTGGCATTTGCAATTGCGGAACGAGTTACTTGTGCTTGACTTGCACGCAATGGAGTTTTCTACTGTCAACCTCCAATCTGAGTCACTAGGGAGTAAAAGTTTCCTCCTTGTCGAGGCAGAAAAAGGAATGCTCGGGATGCTCACTATAGGTAACGGCTATGATAAGGACATCAAAGATCGCCGACATTGGCTCGCGTATTCTATTCTGACAAATAACCAATGGCATTTGGAGAAGGTCATCCCGTTACCGGTAAAGGATGTGCGTCTGGTTCGTGCAGCCGGGGGATACCTGCTCATGTACACGGTGCACTTAAAATCTTCTCAAGGCCAGCTGGAGTTTCGATACTTTTCGGTGGACCTTAAGACTTTCCAGGTCGAGTTGTTCACTGCAGTTTGCAAGCACTTTCCTGGACGACTGTACGCTGGTTTCCCAAAACCACCTGGACGACTGTATTCTGGTTTCCCACCATCACTATGTGCGCCAACTATATGAAGCGGTGAGCGTATTAACTACTCTTTGCTTACTTTTATTTAACTTTATTTCAGTGTTACGCAACAGAAATAAGATTCAGGCATTCACTATATGAGTTGGTCGAGTTCACATAGTTTCCCGGTTATAATCTTATTCAATATATTTATTTATTCCACATAATCTCTGTATGAGTAGAAAACATCAGATTACAACAGCCCATGTTTGGCGGCTGGAGGTGGGAGGTGGCTCCGGAGAAATCCGAGGCCAGTAGTGCTGGCCACAACGGCGGCGATGCCCGAGGGCGCCGTACCCTTCTTGTAGGCGCCGTCCAGGTTGCCTCCTTCCCCTCTTTCTTCCATCCAGCTCGTATGCCGGGCGAAAGCCCAAATCCTTGCCGGATCAAGCGACAGCGGCGCTCCGGGCGTCGTCACCCTCTTGGGGGTGTCGTTCGTGGTGAGCTTGGGATGGATGTGATGCTTTGGTTGCTTGGCGGCGGTTGGTGGCGTGGTCGGAGTTCGTTTGGTGGCGGTGCGTTGGCGCTCTGCCGCCTATGTGCTCAGCCTCGGAGTCCTTCTTCCACGGTGCTTGGTCTTCAGCAGCCCTGCCAGACTCGGCGGAGCGGTGCTTCATCTTACTCATTGATGGCGGCGTATCTCGGTGGCGTGGCGCAGTGGAGATTCGGCGTCCGATGTGTGGCGATGGACTCGCGCAGGAGGATGTAGCTGTCTAGTGTCGTGGTGACATCGATGGTTGAGTGGCCAAACAAGGTAGAGGCCTCAATATTTGCTCTGAAGACGGACATGTGGAAGATGGTGGCGACGACACACGAGTGTGTCGAACCGGTTTGTACCCTAGACCCGGTATGTGGCTCGGCTGGGGCTTCCGGCTTTTAATGTTAGGTTTAGGTGAGTGGTCTGGGTAGTGGCCCAGCTAGCACCCCTTCATCATTTTGATGTTAGGCTTAGATGAGTGGTCTGGGTAGTGGCCTAGCTAGCAAGCCTTCATTATTTGGATAGGAGTAGTGGCATATGTTGCCAAGATGGCGGATTCAGGCATATTGTTGTAATACTTTGCAAAGGCCGGGGGTCATCTCGAGAATAATCAATAAAGTGGCCGCACCGGTGGTCATCCTCCTTTTCTAAAAAAAAACAACAGCCCATGTTTCTGCTTCCAACAGCAGTTTTGAAAGCAATAAAGTAATTCCTTTTTTTTCGAGAAAACGCAAACGACCTCGGCATGGTAGAAAGTCAGTTACAGTCATCCGAGGACGAATAGTCAAGGTAGTTCTGGCAGTTTACTTTTTATGTGATTACATTTCACTGCAGCTTACTCTATAAACCTCTAGTGTAAACACAGATAGTTCCTCTAGTAGCTCCACATATGACTGTAGATTGCCATAGTCAGTTTAGTGGAATGTTTGATTTTGGGTAAGCAGAAAGCAGAAAACAGACAGCAGAATTTAGTTGTTTGTCCATTTCTGCCATTGGATTGCTAAGCAGAAAGCAGTATGTCACATATGGTGCAAGTAATCTCAGTCATAAGTATATTATTGTTATTGTTACTTTCAGCTGATCTGGGTAAGTAACTTCATTTACATGGATGCAGCACCAGTCCTTGAATATATCGGTTTCTTGAATGGAGATTTCGGCATACTGCATTCTTGTTGTGGAAACTCTAGGTTGCTTAATCATATGCACATATTGGAAATTAAGGGGGTTTGCAAAGCACATATTTGGAGCATTGTTCCCTGTTTGGTAGTTTCTTCTTTTCATGTAATTAAATGCCACTGGGCAATGTGATGCAAAGATCCAGTGTCAAGTTCATGCATGAGATGTGATATATTTGATGCCTGTTACATGTACTCGTAGCTCTATATTCCTATTTTCTACTGTTCATATGGGAAGTTCGTGCTGTTTTATGACTTTCATTTATCTGCAGATGCTGATGCCATGTCGAAGAAGAGAAGAGTTTGTTCCTCCATGCGCCTTGTGGTCTAGGAAATGAAAGTGATGCGTGGATTAGATGTATTCGTTTGCTGTATTTCCAAGTTTTGAATTGTAAAGTATTGGCTATTTACAAACCATTGGCTATGTTAGAATTTTGGATGCATTTGCTTGTTGGCATGTTTGAAGCTATGATATGTGCGTGCGTGAGTGATATCCTGGCGCACAATTTTTTCCCCAGTTACAACATTTGAAGTGTGTGTTTGAAGCTATGAACTTTTAGGTTCTCACTGGGTTCAAACAACTGAATATCTAAACATATCTGCTACTGCAATGTACATGTCTAAAAGAATGGGTGTGCCCTGTTCGAAGTCTGAGTTTTACTTGATTTGGTGAACTCTTTCAATGGCGTGGTTTTGAAGAAAAAATGTGTGTATTGCTGCATGGAATAACTTGGCTTGGAACCACTACTGGCATCTACTACATCGATGCTTCCTTGAGGGGCCAAATTTTTCTTCAGGCCTTACGTGCACTATCTCTATATTGTGAATGTTGCACATGCAGAAGCTGTCACTCGTTCCTTTTAGGCCAAACTAAATTATGTGATGGTGGAAAACCAACTTATTGCAAAATCATTGATAACCAGGAGTCTTGTGACGCATAAACAGACCCAGTAGCTCCCATGATCTGCAATAAGCTCGAATGTCTCTTTTACAGTGTCAAACCGGCAATACCTGGAAAATACTGTATGGAACATGTATGCTCTGAATTTTGTGGAAGTGCATGAACATACTGGTAGACAGATTTTTGCATATGAACAGAATGCCCAAATGAAGTTAGCTTAGCTCTGGCGGCTTTCTTGAGCAGCTATTAGCTAGCACATTGATGCATACTTATTTCTACAAGAGAGCTGGAACTTCCCAAAAAGAGTAGTCACAACCTATGTCCACTATATACTCGATATAAAATTCCAAAGAAAAAAAGAAGGCGGACGATGATCTGCATCTCAAGCTTGTAATCAGGTGCTTGAATCCTTTAAAAAAAAACATGCAAACTTCAAAAAGTTAGGCAAAGCAAGTCTATTAGAGCATCTCTAGCAGACGCGGCATCCCGCCGACCCGCAAAACGCGTTTGCAGTTCACGGAAAAACGGTTTTGCGGGCGGACGCAGACAGCCGCAGAGGCAGACCCCGCAAAGTGGACCCGTATAAAAGGATATTTGCGGAATATGCTCTTTTATAGGTCGGCTTTGCGGGGTGTGGTCTAGCGCCGCTCCGGCTGGCCCGCAAATCCTAAATTTGCACCTCAATTTGCCACAACAAATGAGCTATCGCAATTGAACCAAAGAATGCCGTGCCAAAGCCGAATGAAAACATCACGTACCCCGTCGTTTTCGCATTTGAGGAACACCCATCCGGGGTGCTTCGGCGTGCCTGAAGTTAGCCGCAGCACTATCCGTGTGCAGTCGTCGCACTGTATGAGCAGCATCGGCGAACCACAGAGCCTCTACGCGAGCGCCGAGCCTGGCCGAATCCATGCCCGCAAACCGGCGGCGGCGGCGACAGGATGAACCCGTACCTGCATGCGGCGATGCGACTTTGCCGGGGCTGCGCGAGATGCTCGCCGACCATTCCATCGCTTGGCGTAGCCACCGGCAGCCGGAAAAGCCAAATCCGACCGCCCGCGACGAAGGACCG